AGGTTCCAAATACAGGTTTACTTTTGGTAGAAGGTTCCAAATCCAGGTTCCAAATCCAGGTTTACCTTTAGTTGAAGGTTCCCAATCCAAGTTTATCTTTGGTAGAAGGAGCCAAAATCCAGGTTTAACTTTGGTATAAGGGTCCAAAATCTAGGTTTAACTTTGGTAGAAGGTTCCCAATCCACGGTTACCTTTGGTAGAAGGGTCCAAAATTCTGGTCTAACTTTGGTATAAGGATCCAAAATCCAGGTTTAACTTTGGTATAAGGATCCAAAATCCAGGTTTAACTTTGGTAGAAGTTTCCAATTCCAGATTTACCTTTGGTAGAAGGTTCCAAATCCAGGTTTACTTTTGGTTGAAGGTTCCCAATCCAAGTTTATCTTTGGTAGAAGGGTCCAAATCCAGGTTCAACTTTGGTAGAAGGGTCCAAATCCAGGTTCAACTTTGGTAGAAGGGTCCAAATCCAGGTTCAACTTTGGTAGAAGGGTCCAAATCTAGGTTTAACTTTGGTAGAAGAGTCCAAATCCAGGTTTACCTTTGGTAGAAGGGTCCAAATTCCAGGTTTAATTTTAGTAGAAGGGTCCAAAATCCAGGTTTACCTTTGGTAGAAGGTTCCCAATCCAAGTTTACCTTTGGTAGAAGGGTCTAAAATCCAGATTGGTAGATGGTTCTAAACCCATAGTAGCATGTACTGACTGTATCCTAGCAGGTAGCATGTACTGACTGTATGCTAACAGGTAGCATGTACTGACTGTGTGCTAACAGGTAGCGTGCACTGACTGTATGCTAACAGGTAGCGTGTAACAGGCGGTCAGCTGGTCAGCCGCCTGCAGCCTGTGTTTTGGAGGTCAGCCTGAAGGGTGTGAAGATGAGCGTCCAGGACCAGTGTCACTCTGCTCACAGGGTTCGTGTTAAAAAACAATATAATAAATACATAATTGTATTTGTTTTAAATAGAATCCTGGTTAATAGTCTTGAAATGGTTGAATCTTGTTTCTTTCAGGGAGATCAATGTTTCCATTTCTTCCAGTTGAAGAACATCTCTTTCTGTGGCTGCCATCCCAAACACAACAGGTGAGTCCATCTATCTCCACACCTTCACAGGTGGGTTTTGTTCCAATAGCTGGTTTGAATCTGAACATCTGGGTTGTTTTTTGTGCTGCAGATATTTCGGTTTCATCACTAAACACCCGGACCAACAGCGCTTCGCCTGCCATGTGCTGATGTCTGACACTTCGTTACACCCTCTTGCTGAGGCTGTGAGGTGAGACAGAGGCTGTTAGACAGCGGCTGTGAGACAGAGGCTGTTAGACAGAGGCTGTGAGGTGAGACAGAGACTGTGAGACAGAGGCTGTTAGACAGCGGCTGTGAGACAAATGCTGTTAGACAGAGGCTGTGAGACAGAAGCTGTGAGACAAATGCTGTGAGACAGAGGCTGTGAGGTGAGACAAATGCTGTGAGACAGAAGCTGTGAGACAAATGCTGTGNGCTGTGAGACAGAAGCTGTGAGACAAATGCTGTGAGACAGAGGCTGTGAGGTGAGACAAATGCTGTGAGACAGAAGCTGTGAGACAAATGCTGTGAGACAGAGGCTGTGAGGTGAGGCAGAAACTGTGAGACAGAGGCTATGAGACAGAGGCTGTGAGACAGAGGCTGTGAGGTGAGGCAGAGGCTGTGAGACAGTGGCTGTGAGACAGAGGCTGTGAGACAGGCTGTGAGACAGGCTGTGAGACAGAATCTGTGAGACAGGCTGTGAGACAAAGGCTGTGAGGTGAGACAGAGGCTGTTAGACAGCGGCTATGAGACAAATGCTGTGAGACAGAGGCTGTGAGACAAATGCTGTGAGACAGAGGGTGTGAGACAGAGGCTGTGAGACAGGCTGTGAGACAGAGGCTGTGAGGTGAGGCAGAGACTGTGAGACAGAGGCTGTGAGACAGAGGCTGTGAGACAGGCTGTGAGACAGAGGCTGTGAGACAGAGGCTGTGAGACAGAGGCTGTGATGTGAGACAGAGGCTGTGAGACAGAGGCTGTGAGACAGAGGCTGTGAGACAGAGGCTGTGAGGTGAGGCAGAGACTGTAAGACAAGGTCTGTGAGTCAGGGGCTGTGAGACAGAGTCTGTAAGACAGAGGCTGTGAGACAGAGGCTGTGAGGTGAGACAGAGGCTGTGAGACAGAGGCTGTGAGACAGAGGCTGTGAGGTGAGGCAGAGACTGTGAGACAGAGGCTGTGAGACAGGCTGTGAGACAGAGGCTGTGAGACAGAGGCTGTGAGACAGAGGCTGTGATGTGAGAC